ATAAAAAAGAAGAAGGGGAGATAAGGACGATAGATGTTTGATAGGAAAGAAGGAGCACACCAGACCAGAGCACCCGCCAACCACCCACCAATACTACACATTTAGGATATAAATACAACTGCACATGTAATATCCTCAGCCCCACGCTCGGCTATTCTCTACCTCCGTTTAGTGCAAATGGATAGATAGACTAGCCGGTTGATATCTTGGTACATTTTTGTAACAATTGTTTTGTTTTTTATATACGAAAGTGTTTGCGGGCATTCGTCAAAATCATAACATACCGAGCTATGTATGGTTCGGGTGACAAAGAGTCACATCAGTTTCTGAAGCTAGGTTACCCAAACAGTTTTTAACGCCTGTCCATTCCGCCCCATCCAATGTGGACATTAATTCTGAGATTAATGTACTTTCGGAACGAGGGCTCCATTTCCTGTACAGTTTGTATACCGGTACCACTCTGCCACTGAAACCTCTTTCACGTCTCGCCAGGTTACAATAAATAGTATCTTCTGGTGAATAAAACAAAATTGTCTAAAGGTCCAGAAGGTTCCATGGTGACGTCAGTGGGAGAACGGGGAACTTTGGTCCTTTTTTTATATTCTCTGAGCCCCCCCAAAAAACCGTTTTGGCCTATACATGTATTGATTCAGCCGCCCAGGATTCCGACTGCTTGCGAGTTATTTAGACCAGAGTATGAATTCTTTATCACAGACGTTGCGGTATGCTAGATTCATATTATATTATCATGGGTCTTGTTTCAGCAAAGCTTTCATAGTTATAAAACTGCAAATGTTTGTAGGACGAGGGACCTCCAACGTGGACTACAAATGTATATACTTCCGAGAAGTCAATTCTCTTTTTCTTTTGTTGTTGTTGTTTTTGTTTTGGGTTTTTTTTTGGTTGTTGTTTTTGTTGTTTTTGTTCTGCTTTTGTATACATCCTCTTTATAGGTCTATCATTGACAATCTTAGTAGAGCTGATCTTGTTTCATATTTTATCGACAGAATTATGTGTCGAACACGGACAGGCGTACATAATATATTATAATATATTTGATGAAATTGCATGTGTAACATTATCATTAGAAAATGCGTTTCGGAATTCATTATGTCAGTGGGGAATAAATTTGTGACATGATATACTGCGGAACGCTTTGGTACAATGCTCATTCCACTTTAGTAAAGCTGTAATTCTTCTTCTTCTTCTTCTTCTTCTTCTTCTTCTTCTTCTTCTTCTTCTTCTTCTTCTTCTTCTTCTTCTTCTTCTTCTTCTTCTTCTTCTTCACCCGACCCTAGTGCTTTGGGTGGGGGGGGGGGGGGGGGGTACCTCATTTACTCTCTTTTAAAGGGCTGTTGTCCCAGTTCGTCCCTTTGGAATAAAAGCCTATGAAGTGACAGCTTAAAGTACATCGCGGTTTGGAACAACTGCGCCCAGCAAAGGTTAAAAAACGAAGAGTCTTAACCACGACCTCCCACACCCCCCCCCCAATCCCCTTCCAATTCCTTTTGCTCCATGTTTCTTAAGGCGTTGTAAAGACCTATAAAGCTATAAAGCAAAATCGCACGGTACACTTTTGCTCCATAAAATTACGCCTTGAGCAGCTATTTGTACTCTTCATGTGATAATTTCACGCTGCCATAACCAACATAATATTATTATTAAGGCGCCTTGAGAGGGGCCACCTTAAAATTAAAAGGGTATAACAGGGGAAAGGGGAGGGAGGAGCGGGGTTCCATCGCGGATTTGATTCGTCCGTTGGACCCATACGTCTGTTGAAAAGAGGATCACTTTGTGTTATTAATGCAGGAAATTTTGCAACTATTCAAAAAGCCCAGGCCACCCAAACATGTCTCCAAAGACGTATTGGCAGACCTGTTGTTTTTTGTGTTTGTTTTTTGTTGTTGTTGTTTTTGTTGGGGGGGGGGGGGCTGAAAATCAATAATAACTTCCCACCAAAGACGTTAGGTACACATTGTAGCAGCAATGGGCGGGCCTTTATGAAGTTGCCCTGGAATAAGCCATTCACTCGGTTCCTACATTTTGTACTCTTGTGCGTCGGTGCTTTTTGTGCTGGTGTCTCTGTTGATTGTGTGTGGGCGCGCTCGAGTGTGGGTATGCTTGTATGAGTGTGTGTGTGTTTGTGTGTGTGTGTGTCTGTGTGTGTGTGTTTGCGCGTGCGTGCGAGCGTGAGTGCGTACGAGCCTGTGTGTGAGT